TGTGTGTGTGTGTGTGCGTGTATGTATTTATAGACAGCATTCTAATACATTAATGTATAAAATATATAATCTAAAATAGCATTGACAGTTTGGCTTTTGGAGTCAAAATATAAAATGTTAAAAATACAAAAACAGCCATATTTGACCGTTTTCCTCTGTCCTTAAAAGTGTCTTCAGTGTATACAAGTGTCTGTAGTTTTGAGAATGTAAATTTGTGTTTGGAACAGACAGTCACATGCCCTGTTCATGCCGCTAGCGACTTGCATGTCACACCATCCACCATACTGGTTGGTTACTTGTTTAGTCTCATTTCTTATTGACAACAAACTAGTTTACACTGCTAAAATTAACATTCTGGAAGAAAAATGTATTTTTGTATTTAAGTTGAAAACAGTGCATGAAGCATCATATTAAAGATGAACAAGAATCAGTGCGTGCTCTTTGTCAGTGTGGGCGGTCAATTTATCTGTGCCGAAAGCATAAACGCTGGCCTATTTGGGTCCACATACATTTAATTGTCATATGCATCATTTTTTAAATACTGACCCTGCACATGATTAAAGACATAAATTGCTGACTGTAAGGACAAAATTTAGTCGAAATGATTCTTGACTAAAGTTTCTGACTGAAGACAGATTGACATGCTCCATCAGATTGGACCTGAGCAAATCCCAACACTGAAAATGAATGACTTTGGGTCGTTTCAAGTCGGCGGCGGCATGAACGGGGCTTAATTCTCAACTCTAGATCATTCAGAGGTAACACTGTCAATGCTCGCTCCCTTACCAGTAACAACCACAGTCGCTGCAGCAAAGTTCAGGAAACCATAAAGGGTTTGCAGAGCTGCTGTGCTCACTATGGCCTTCTACCATATATTAGCTCATTGTGATATCTCTATACTGTGATATCACCTAGACAGTGTTGAACGCGACAAGACCATATGAACAGAACTCTTTACATACACTGATGAATCATTTACACATAAAACATGTGTTTTACAGGTATATTGGCTTCAGTGTTCATGCAGTTGTTATGGAGCCACCAGGACCACTCGGTGGTGTATGATCGCAGTCCAGCCACACCTGAGAGCGCCAAAGCCAGGTGCAGAGAATGCAGTTCATCTGTCCTCTCTTGGCAATATAAGAAATATAAGACTGGGAGAACTGCTTTGTATGCCTTGAGATTCCTTTGTTTCTTTGGTCTCTGAGGATGAACCGTCTTTCTGAGCTGTTCCATGCCTTAAATAAAGGGGCCAAAGCCCTCTGTTAA